TAATTGATTATCCTTTGTGATAATCAATTATTGCCGAAACGAAGCCTTTTCTACTTTTACTTATGATAATTGACTATCCCCCATGATAATTGATTATTCTTTAGAGAAATCAGTACAAAAGAATAAGGTACATGACTTCTAAGTTCTTATAATTGAAAGATAAATCGTAATACAAATGTTTCTACAAAATATGCTTTAACAATGTATGTGAATATTCCTCCAAGTCTTCAAGTGCATCATCATCAAAATCTTCTTCAAGGAATCAATGTTTCTCATTGGCAACAATCTCCCTTTTTTTCATGATGATCAAAAATCATCTTTGTTAAAAGCAGTTTTGTCTATCCTTGCTACCGGTACCTAAGTTTCATCATAGTCAATACCTTCTTCTTGGAAATATCCTTTAACAACAATTCTTGATTTGTTCTTAGTAATGTGACCATCCTTATCCAACTTGTTTTTGAAAACCCATTTGTTCCAATTACTTGCTAATTTTTTTTCTCTAGGAATGAGTTCCCAAATATTATTCCTTTCAAATTGATTCAATTCTTCTTGCATTGCTACACATCGTTTGTTATCTTGAATAGTCTCATCAATGTTTTTAGGTTCTATCTTAGAAACAAAAGCAACAATCATACAAAAATTATTTAAATTACGTTTAGTAGTTACCCCTTTTGAGATGTCTCCAATTATGTTGTCCATAGAAAGTCCTAGTGGTTGTTGATAGCCTCTAGGATCATCTTCTTTTTGTACATGGGAAATTTCAGAGGGGGTATTCTTGTAACCTCCCAATTTTTGGGATGTCCTGATTATGAGTAATTTTTTTTTAAATCATAATACCATCACGAAAATCCATTTATATAATACCAAAATTAGTAAAATAAAAACGGAATAAAATAAACTCGATTACATTGTCTCTAACATTTATAGTACAAAAACTTTAAATAACAGAAGTCTTTTTTCCACTCTCATGTCTTTATCATGCATCTGGAACATCTACAACATCTGCTCCCGTATAACCAAAAGTTATATGATCATCGCAAGACACACACAACCATACACACAAACAAATATGGGTAAGGTACCATAACACAACCAATAACAATAAAATTTGTACATAGGAAGCAAACACAACTTAATAACAAATCAATCATCTACAATGTTATCCTACTCACAGAATCATTTATACACCATGATCAACATCAACATCCTCATTAACTATATCATTAATATACCACCAACGTTATCCTTACAATTATTGTCTCTACACACAAAATCACTACAAATTCCCAACATCATCATGAAGGACCTTGGTTGTCTCCTGTACCCAACCATACCATCTGTAGCTTCCCCACACAGGCTCATAACCACCTGTAACTTCCCCATACATGCTCATAATCATACCACCTGTAGCTTCCCCATACAAGTTCATAATCATACAACATGTAGCTTCCCCATACAGACTCATAATCATACCACATGTAGCTTCCCCATACAGGCTCATAATCATACCACCTGTAGCTTTCACATACAGGCTCATATTACACAGTATATAGTCCAAAACTCAGGATTTACTAGGTACATGATAGACACATCCCTCTCTTTAAGTGTATACCACTAACAAGACCTCAACTTAACTCTCAAAATATTAAAATTCGTAACTCATTCTATGCATCTCCACTTATTAGTTTTACAACTCACAATCTAGGAAGCCAACCAAACATAATTCATAGTCAAACTAAATATTATCCACACCTCCCTTTTCACCACTTGCACATCAATATAAAGTCTTATGTAACCCAATATAAATTTCTATAATATTTTAAGAATCACAACTCAATCTAAAAATAATAAATCATTATTACTTTAATTAATTATTAAAACCTTACTACTTCTCTTTTTAGAAGTAAATTATTTTTTAATTCCAAAATATTTAATTTTAATTAATTTGATTTCCATTTAATTTAAAAATCAATTACTTTCCCTTTTACAAAAAATTAATTTCTCTTCGCAATAAATTAATTTGATTTAAAGTCTCGTTACTCTCCCATTATTAATTTCCCATTTACATATTATTACTTTCCAATTATTATAAGTTTAGTGACAGGATTTATTTTAAATTTTCCTATCTTATTCTCATTATTATTTTTTTCTTTACCATTGTTAATTCAATCCAACCCAAGTCTACCCAAGTCCAATATGGGCCTACAAGTTCAAACTATGCCAACCCAAAATCCACAGATTTCATAGCCACCATTGTGAACATTTATGCCAACCAACCAAGATCCCAAAAACTCGCCATCAAACAATAGGGAAAGACTCATGTAACACACCTTAATCATGAATCAAAACACAGAAAAGAAAAAAAACCAAAACGATCAAGAACACAAGCAATTCCCAGAACAAAAATCAATTCTAGATTCTAATTTGAAACTCCCAAACTGAAAAAAAATCAAGATTGCAAAGACAAAAGCCCAAAAATCAATTTGAAATGAATTTCCTGTCTCTCAATTCACAAAGTCATATATACTGATTATTTCATTTTTATCTTGTAACTTCAAAGTGAGTTTTAGTGAAAAGTTAATCACTCATTTTAGAGTGATTAACAACTAGACGTAGAATCTTTTGATTCGAACAAGTATAAAAATCCTCTGTGTTATTTTCCTTATCTCTACATCTCCTGACTTTAAACTGTTCGAAGAAATTTCTAAAAGAAAACAAATATTTTTAATAGAACCAATTCACCCCTCCTTTCTTGGTTTTGGGTCTGTTTACACGGTCTTAAACATTTTGTGTGCGATACCAGTTCCTACATTATATGGGAGCAAATATTATTATAGATGATGTTGGAGACTCTTAAAGTGAGGAGGCGTGTTGGAAAATCTTTTGAGAGTTTTCGAAATTTTTTTGAAACAATTTCAAAATGTATTTGAAACAATTTGAACAACATAAGTTTGAATTGAAGAAAAGTTTTTCTTAGTAGATTTTAACATTGCTTATGTTAAATAAATAAAGTTTTTTCTAAGTTCAATGTTTAATGATGGTATCAGAGGTTGTATTTTCTTTAAGTTAATGGATGTTTTACACATATAAGTGACATCCTAAAAGGGGTGTTACAAAGGTAATCTCATGCATAGGTTGATTAATAACTAATGTTGCTTTGGTTCATCTAATGCCATAGTCATCTGACACTCAAGTCGTCTGACATGTAAGTCGTTTAATGACTTCAACTGTCTAGGTCGTCTAATGCATTAGTCATATGATGACATGAATTTTCTTAACTTGTATAACACCTTAATCATTTAACACCATAGTTGTATAACAGAATGACTTAGGATGTCTAGACATTTAGGCATCTAATGTATTTACCTAATGATTTCTATAGTTAGAATCATCTAACAGTTTAACTCATCTAATCTTAGACTTGTCTAATGCTTTAGATTCGACCTTTGCATTTTCTAGACTTTGCTTTCATTTACACATGCAATATATAACTATAAATCAATTAAGCAATTACAAGCAATACTACCCATCATATATTTTGATCTTCAAACAACATTGACGAATTTCTAATTCTCACTACTACCATTAGATGCTCTCTTTTAGTCACACTTTTACCTTTAACCATAGACTTTCTCATCTGGTAGACTGTTTTGTTATCATCAAAATCTTATTAATTACTGAGGTTTGTCTACTTTAACAATTACTTGAAACATGGAAAAGGAAAATAATATTACAAGTTTCATAATACTTATTGTCATATGACTATAATCATGTATATATCAAACTTCTTAGTACTCTTATGTGTATATAAACCCATGTCTCAAACAAAGGGTTATGGTTCGTCTACCTCCCCTATAGGGGAGGTTTTTTGTTTTGTTGTTTTTTTTCCGGTCACTAGACCTGAACCATGGGCTTTGATACCAGATGTTATGGAGGTTCAATATACACACATATCCATAGACCTCCCCATTAGTAAGATATTGTCCGCTTTGGGCTAAGCCCTCACGGATTTGCTTTTGGTATCAGTCCAAAAGGCCTCTTACTAAGGGATGTATCTTATGTGTATATAAACCCATGTGTATTTCATATTTTATCTGATGTGGGACTTTGTTTGTACCCAACAGGAGTGTGATATTCAAAATGACAATTGTCAAAATGCAATCTGATATTTCATTAATGAAGACAAAGTTTAGGTGCATTCACCATAACTCAATCCCACTTTACTTCTTAATGGCTTTCGACTTTTGGGAACTTTTATACCATAACTCAATCTACTAATTCAAGAGACTTTGGAATCAACAAAATATTCCAACACACGTTTATAAGCAACCTGTTTTCACTATCCGAACGTTCCCTTACCCCCATTTATTTTTCCAGCTTTCAATTAAAGGTTCAAAGACTATATAAATACTGTTTGATATTTTATGAAGTATTCACTTAATTTTTTTTTACTATTTACTATATTATTATACTTAATATTACTGATTTGAGAGTATGTGACTATATTTTGTACATAGATCTCTCATCGATCTACTTTAAGATCCAATCATCAATTGTCAAAATTATCAACTCAGTTCCTGAAATTATCAACTCAGTTCTTGAAACTTAATTAATTTTCTGTTTAGAATTTTGAAATACAGTAAAAAAAATTAAGGTTATAGTGAAAAGTAAATTAATTGTCAAAAATGTGAAACTCAAATAATATATAACATATAAATTAGAATTTGATTGTGAAGTAATGTTACATACATAAAACTCCATATATATTTAATATTTGTGAATAACTGACGTTAGTAAAATTCGTTGATTATGAACAAAGAAATATTGGTATAGTTGTCTAGCTATAAACAAAAGTTTTGCCACTTATTTCAAAACTAAATTAAAAGATGAAAAGTAACAATAATATTAACTTCCACTACAAAAAGAATATTGTAAAAGTAGTTTATTCGAAATTATGACAGTTTTTCTTAACTTTATTTAAAGTTTAATTGGAAAGCAAATTAATTTCCACAATTACCACCAGGCCCTCCAAACATGAGAATGTTACCAAAGTGTGGTCCTTTATTTCCATAATATCTAACATCATAACAATTGGGTTTGTCGGTGAAGGAATTAGCTTCATATACTTTAACTCCATGAGTTTTTCTTTCATTATCTTGAATCGAAATTTGTTTATAGTAACAAGCGTGCGTAGGATTATCATCATGAGGAAAATGGCCAGACCCCATTTTAGGACTTTGAGTACCAGGATGAGTTCTTGTTCTTCCACCCCAACCTACTTCATTAGCTGAGCTCATGTTTGAGAACAATTTTGCTGGAAAATATCCAATGGGCTTATTGTCTATACTTATCCACCAATTTTTGGTTATAGGATCCTGAAAACATACAGACATTTATGAGAAAAAAATATATCATGCCTACTGTTATTTGTGTCTATCGCCCAATATTACGTTTTTTTTTCACTATATGAATTTAGTTAAAAAAGTATATTCTAGAAATAAAAATATATTAACCCCATGTGAGTTAAATCAATTTTTATCTTTTTATCATAGTGAAATATATACACAATTATTATCACCTGAGTAATGGAAAAGGCAAGCACACAAAGTCGTCCTCCATATTGAGAGATAGTACCTATGGATCGACCGATGAAAATTTCTTTGCTAGTTTGAACAAAACCTGCACATCGAATATTGTAGCATCCTGTCTTTTTGAAGTTGTCTGACTGTAAATTTTTTATACCATATCAAATTTTGAATAATAATATTAATATGATACATTAATTAATTCAAATTTATTAAGGATCTATAATAAGGACATAATTATATCTTATATACGAAGAGAGAAAAAATATCCTTCAATGAATAAGAAAGACTTATTAAGGGAGTATATCTATGTGTTTCATTTATATAAATCAAGTATAAACAAAATGTAATGATATGGTAAGTTCTTACCGTCCATGAGATATAAAAATGGGTTGCATGATCATTGTATAGTTGTGGACTCACCTGATAAGAATGTATTGGATTAATTATAATATTATTACCTTTTCTCAAAATAGTGGCAATTAAGTCACACATATACATGCACACATACTCACAAGCACAAATGCATTACACATGCACAAAGTATGCACCAACACACACACACACACACGTACACACACCCCTATCCACACAAGCACACAAACATGCATATGCACACACACACCCACACTCACACCCACACCCACAAACACATGCATACATACACATACATAAAAAATGCTAATTGTGAAAATTTCAACTCACATGCCATCCTAATGAGATTTTGTTAGTGGATTCTATGGGACCATTTTGAACCCATAAATGAGACATAGAGATTTGAAGATTGGTATCAACTCGTGGATTAAAAATACTATTTAAACCTCCAACTCCATAATAAGGACCATAATTTGGTTTAACAGAAACTTCCGCGACCTGAAAAATTCAATATATACAAATAAATAGCCAAATTGAAAAAAATTAGATTGAATACAATTTAAAAAAAAATTAAGTACCAACATTTTAAACTACTTTTATAAAAAGATCTTACATGAACACCAGGAATATCTTGAAGCAATATATGATCATTGAGTAATGATTTTTCTCTAATAAGGTCATCTTTTGTTGTTCTCAATATAGGAACAGTCCCCGTCGGACATTCATGCTTACCCAATCCAAACATGGGTCGAGTTCTTGAAGTTTTTTGACTTATCTCTCCAGTCACATTTTGAAAGTTAGGTTTTTTCTAAAAATAAAAAAAATAAAGAAACAATTTTTAGAGCATGGAAAACATGGTAGAAGAGGGGTTGGAAATTAACCCCAAATATTGAAAAGAAAATGAAAGTGAAATTTCTTTGTAATTAGAGATTTTAATTATATGCCTGCAATTTATGCCCCTTTAATAAAGGATGATCAAATGATGGTTGTTTGTAAATGTCGATGCAATCCACAATTTGTCCATTCTTCATCTATCAAATCCAAAATAAAACACATACAAAAAAAATTATTAAACCATATAGTGTGATTCAACTAAAAAAACATGTCATATCATGAAATATCAAAAAGTTGAGACATACATGAATACTCTTAATAGCAGGCTTAGTAATAATCTCAAGTTGTCTCTCTAACTCCCAGTCATCTTTTTGTATAGATGGATTTCCGTCAACTTTATAGCTAACATGACTACTAAACAAATACAGAACAAACAACACTGTAACAATCATCTTTTTTTTACAACCGAAATAGGTTAATCCATATGTATATATATATATATATAATCAATCGATTGAAATATTCAAGGTCAAATTAATAAGATGTTTAGATGAATAATAGAGTCAAACATATGATGTATACTCACGAATGTCATAAAAAGCAATGTATCATACTCATTTGGTTTCTAATCATGATTTTAAGTTTTTTTCTATAAAATTTGAACTACTTATGTAAAATATATATATAAATATTGTTACTTATTATATAGCAATTAATATAACATTTAATATTTGGTATTCATTATTTATTATATGGAATTTATTAGCGTTTAATATATATCTTTTTTAACATTTAAGAAATATATATATATATATATATATATATATATATATATATATATTTTGATTAAAATATTCAAAGTGAAGCTATAAACATTTTTATGTGAATAATAAA